ATCGGCAACTGAAGGCATGGACTCAGCGGGTGTGCTGGAGTCGTCGGTGCTGCTCTCACCCACAGTTTCGTTGGCAGGCTCCTCTGCCTTGGCTGCTGTCTCATCATCGCTCTCGGTAGTCTTGGTGTCATCAGGAGACTCGGAAGATTCAGCAGAGTCGCCCAACTTGCCACTACCAGGAGATTTGGAATCTGAAGGTGGGGTTGCAGGTGTTTCCTTCAGGAGATTGACCTTCTCCAGCAGTTTTGCCAGTGCATCAGCCTCCATCTGGGCCTTGTCCTCGGATTTGTCCTCCGGTCCATCGCGTTCAGCATATTCGGATAATCGATCCATTAAGCCAATCACAATAGCCTTTACGTTGACGTGAGGGTTGAGCCGGGACACAGCTCCAAGGAACTGGTCCAGTGTGTGTAGGTGGAATTCGTCCGGAAAAACTTGCGTAATCACCTCAAGGAGATACTCTTGGGCAAGAACGTCCCTACATTGAACCACCTGCTCTAATAGAGGCGCTAGAATGCTGGACTTGTAAGTTTCAAGATCAACGAGCTGGCTTAGGCGCACGATGTTGCTGCCAACAAGTAGCTGCAGCTCCTTTCGCTCTCTAATCCTCTGTTCACGCTCCCTTGAATGACCTTGGTGCTGCAGCCGAACCCATAGTTTGTTCATTTCCACAAAGTTCGTAAGCACAAAGTTGATGGAATCGCTGATGTTGCCCTCGGGACCATCGCTTTCAGTTGTCGGCAAGAAGTCTCTCGCTTGGCCGGAAAGGTAATAACGGAGAAAAAGTCCACGGATAGGATGCTGAACACCTCGACTCATGTCCATCATGTCTTTCATGAGCTCCTTGACGGGCGCATCCTCAATGGCCATGTAAGCGGTTCCCACGGTAATCATGAGATATAATCGCGGAACGATGTTGCCTGCATACTGAACAAGCTCGTAGAGGTCGGCTAGGTGATTGACAGGATGGTTTTCGCGAAGGTGAACGGACAAGTATCGCAGGGCATCGAAAACAGACATGTACAGCTCGTAGTATTGCTTGGGACCAAGGCTGCTGGTACGGAGCTCAGAAACAAGGGTCGAGCTGACGAGAGTTAGTGATACCGTTCAGGGGATTGAACCACCATATTGCGCTGCGCAGCGCAGCAATCAACATACCAGCACTTAAGCGCATCCATTAGCTTTCCCGGTGTGTCGAGACATTTGCGCATGAGCGAAGTCTGCTGACGCACTGCAACCAGGGCATCTTCAAGCAGACGAGCTTGGTCCTCGGGGGGAGCTGGTGTGGCCATCTTGTCGTTGGCGAATATGACAGCGGGGTAGCTTGGAGCAGGTCGGAACAAGCCAAACTCCTAGCAATTCAAAAGAATGCGACAATTATAGACGTAGTCGTGGAGGAGATGGCAACGAGATCGAACGTTGGACGGAGGTGCCGGGTTGTCGTGAGGTTGCGCCGCATTCAAGGCGTAGAACGGGGACGGGTGCGATGACGATACGGGGGAGGCTGAGATAATGGGTGGGTCCTTGCTGTATCCGTACACCGTAGGCACTACGTTTGGTAACTTACTTGGGGACAGTGGATGAGGGTGCTGTAGTCGTACCTGCACTTCCATCCTTTAGGCTTTAACTAGGCTGCAGGGGACTGCAATGTCCCAGCCCCCCTGGATGGACTTTCCCCAGGGAGCAGCCGAATCACGTGAGGTCTGGGCGCTGGCTCCCTGGGCTCTAGTTAAGTCATGGAGGAGAATCTCACAGAAAGATTGTAAGAATGGACCTAATCATCACTTAGGCATTCATGAATTACTATTCGAAGGCGTGCTGCTCACACCGCCATGGCTACTAGTCGATCCGCTTAATGCCATAACAATCTCTTAGTTCACTAATCTCAGATGTAGGCCATGGCTGAAACACCCAAACTCCTCGCATTCTATCCATCATTGTCTCCTGATACTTCTCATACGTTTAAGACTCATAATCCTTATTCAGGTTTCTCAACTTGGCAGACATCCGTTCCGTTGACATTTCTTGGATCGGCCAAATACTCCCACACCACAATACTGTGGCTGTCCAACACGGGCTGGAATACCCAAATCATCGCGGAGGAAATCCACTAATGATGTTTCAATTGAGGATGAAAATGCGGCAAGGACCAGCATCATATTCGACTCGGGACTCGGCAAATTGTGAATATCTGCAACAATCACAACCTCTTTTACCGTCCTGATTGAGGCCAGTTCCCGAGCCCACCGCAAACTCTCGTGACGGGTGGAATACAACAGCCGAAAGTCAGATACTGTCAAGCTCTGCGGGCCGTCCCACGATTCTCGTGGCCGAGCGCCTTCGATGACGAGCGTTAACTTGTCCAAGCTCTGCAAACTCTGTAACGAGCGACAGACGGAAGACCAGTCATAAGAATCTGGCTCAATGGCATTTGTCGGACTGCACTTGTAAAGGCTGATCTCGCGAACTAGGTCTCTAGTGCGTGGCGTCTTGTCGGCGAAGAAAGGCACCACTGCCTCAAGATCATCCCCAAAGTGGAAGGCATGTTTTGTGTACAGGAAATGGGACGCTTCCTCTCGTATTTTGCGGTTGATGTGCATGATAACTGTGTGCATTGCTCGGTGTGGTTCGGGATCGGCGCAATACGTTGTTTCGTACGACCTCTTTACGATACTTCGCTCCATTATGTTGTATGTTGAACGTTGTGTTTTCGAGCGGCATGCATCATACTCGGATCTCGATTGGTTACGGATTGAAATGTCCTTTGTTCCGCCATTGTCAAGAAGATGGTCGTATATCAGCATACGGATCTCTGGGGGGATTCGCATGAGCATCGGTTCTTCGGCCATGGTGATTGAAGTTGAGCAAACAACGCCTGAGATAAGAGTGATGAAGTACGGCGATGCAAGGGGGAAGAAGGACAAGATATCTAGAGATATTCGTCTTGAGCAGATGACTCGGTGATGTCAGGCTCTAGCGACTGGGCTAGCTAGTTGATGGTGTCGACGGGCTACTAACACAATGTTGGACAATGACGGGCAATGCGAGGGATCTCGCGTCAGAAGCCGCTATTTCGAACCCAAACTGCGGAACAAAGATAATTCATTACGGCACAACCAGTTTGCAGCGCAGTGGTGAATATTTATGTTATTTCTGTGCCTTAAACTGATCCGCAAGGAAAGGGTCCGTCCATCAAGGTGCCCACTCCCCGGGTCCTGGTCCCAAATAACGCTGGTCTGTTGAAACAGTACAGATTCAAGTCATAACCGAATCCCAACACAAGTTCCAAGCGACTCATGTTTCGATATTTCTTTCTTTCGGTTTGGATGGTGGCCCCTGCTGTCGGCAGCTATTGGATTAACTATTGTCGTCCTTGCTACTGGTTTTGTTTCCGCGGGGTAACGATTCTGAATGCGCCACGTCGAACAACCAAGTGTTTGCCCTACTTCACCTCTCAAGTTCATCCGGAGTCCAAATGTTTCTGCATTGACTTCTTTTTCTTCTTACTTTTCTTTTGCGTTACGCTGTCGCCGATCGCCAGCTTGAAAAAGATTTTGCTGCGCTTGCAGCGACTCGGTTGTTCACTAACATCAGGTGTGGACCTACAGACCAGAGTTGTCCGTATCTTTGCGGACCGCGACCCTACTATTAATCAAGAACCCACAACTAAGACGCTTTCAAGCCATGCTGCCGGGCTCTTGAGATGCGAGCTTGGACTGAGATGTTTTCTCTTTCTCTTCTAGGGAGGGATTTGATCACCGCTCCTACCGTGCTATGCGCACAAGAAGGGGGCGCTAGAAAATTCTAGTTATCCAACTTGAGTACTAGAGCACGCATTCCTACGCTGTGTTTGACGTATCTTTCTTTGTCTTTGAGTTGATCTTTTTGGTTGTCGGCCCATCCGTATCGGAAATGGGCATGAATTAGTGCCAAGAATGCTCGGGAAGATGAGCGAATGGTTCATTCCTCTACGCCAGACTTCCTATAGTCATGGTCACTTCAACAATTACAATTGTGTCTGTCTACAACCACTTCTTCTTGGAAGCAGGTGTCATCTGGGAAGTTTTGTGGCAGTGTACTGAAGAGCCTTTTAGTTTCAGGCTGTGACGACGATCATCCCAGTTCCTTGGATCATGGACTACGATGATAATTTGCGATTCTTAAAGAACTCACAACATTTTGACTCCACTGGTGTCGCATCGCGACGCCGTAGCTTATCATGTAGATAGCATCCACCGAGTCATGCTGCTTAGGCCGAAGGCGCCGGTAAATGCGTTACCGACGCAGCCAGACCTCGTGGAAGGTGACCAACTTTGCCATTTCATCCTTGCCGTGTCCCAACAGAGTACAAATGGGTAGGAATATAGGGTCTCATAACTATATCTCCCGATCAGACGATGGTTTGTGTTGGTGCATTTACCAAGTCAAGTGAGACAGGAGGTGATGGTACACGCGAAATATACGAAGAAGTTCTGCGCTTACTTCCAGGTGTCACGAGCTAGCAATTATAATAGGAATTCCTTTTCTTGCTGGAGTTAATTGTCTTTCCTATGTGACCTTGATAGCGCCTTGACGCACCCCAACTTATCTGCAGCAAACTTTGAAGCACAGGTCTAACCAAAATAGCCGATCTCGGGGCCCCCAGACCAACTGTAGCACCGAGGGTCTATTAGTGTTGGCAATGATACGATGCTGGCAAGTTTCTGGGGAAAGGGCTCCAGACTCCCGCATCCGTTCAAAAGTCTAGGGTCGATGATGATCGACTCCGTATGCCTGTATGCTTCTCGAAACTGATATGGAATATTCACGGACAATAACCCCTGCTAGCGCAACATGTACTTTCTGTTTTTTTTTTTTTAGAATACTGCTGACATATCCTCAAGCTGCGAACTTAACGTCTCACAGTCCTATGCCTATTCCTCGGAATTATTAAGTTACTCCGAAAAGCTCCTCTGATTCCCGTCTCTCAGCTTGATATACACAGATACATTTACAGAAACATGTCAAGGCAGTTCTATATCCGGGACGCTGATGCGTTATTCAACGATGCTCAGTTTATAATAGACGCATTCGACTCAACATTACCTCACCTGGCGGCTACTGGGAACTCTGAGCAATGGGGAACAGAACCCCTCTCAAAGAAGAAAGGACACATTCAACGTATGCATGATACGGTGGCGAAATCGGACAGTTTCCGTAAGACAAGAACGGGCGAGCCTTTAAGGGTTTTCATTGCCGAGATTGAGGACGGTTATGGCAGTTCAGGACCGCCGGCAAACGACAGCCTGGCCCGACGTACGGATGGAAACGGAAATTCCTTCGTGTCGGTCGGGTTCGTTGAAGTTCTTGATGAACAGTTCGTAAGTTATTTGAAGAATTCAGGTGACTTAAAGGACCATGTCGGACCAGCGTTGGAGAAGGGCAACTTTGTCTTTCTACAGTACCTCGTCACGGATCACAGAGTGGGTGACAAACGCCGAGGCGCCGGTGCTGCACTCCTTCAAAAGGTGAAGGATTATGCTGCTGAGAAAGGCTGGAAGACAATTTGGCTCGACTGCTGGGATGGAGGTAATGGGCAATTGGTACAGTATGTCGCGAAATACTTCTCGTAAGCGGGCATTATGATCAAGACACTTTACTGATTGACGACAGATACTACGTCGATCGAGGCTTCCGAATTATGGGAAGCTTTCAGAACACCCATGACAAGGACGAAGCACCATGGAAGGGCAAGCTTCTTTGTATGGATTTGGCGTAAGGGCTGCTTCTTATTCGTTTTATCTGTTGCTCACTTCTCCAGAGGAGGCGTGTCCATGTAATTACCAAAGAAAGCATCTCGCCCACCTGCAATCTCGGCGTCTTCAACCAATCGTCGCAATTCCTGATCCTCTTCCTTACTCAGTGTTACCTTCGCCGCTCCTACATTCTCCTCCAGATATTTGATCTTCTTGGTCCCCGGAATCACAAAGACATTTGGACTTTGATCTAGAAGCCACGCCAATGCCATCTGCGAAGAAGTGTATCCCTTGCTCTTTGCCATCTCGTCGAACTTGTCCACGATCTCCAGATTCTTCTTGAAATTATCCCCTTGGAAACGAGTCAATCCTCGTCGAGTGTCACTCTCTTCAAAGTCCTCGACAGAACGGAATCGGCCGGTAAGAATACCCCGACCAAGAGGGGAGTAAGCGAACACAGCGATGTCAAGCTCTCTGCATGTTTTGAGGATGTGTGTTCCTGAAGGGCCCTCAATGTCAAGTGTCCAAGGATTGTACTCGACTTGTACTGCTGCGATAGGATGGATAGCATGGGCACGGCGAACGGTTGTGGAGGACACCTCGGACAAACCCAAATACTTGACTTTTCCTTCGCTGTTCGATCGTCAGAACCCTTTATTAATTTGTTTATGAGGCAGAGAGGCTTCAACCACTTACTCAACGAGCTGCTTCATGGCCTCAACGGTCTTCTCAATAGGCACATCCTCCCTGGCGCGATGCATGTAGTACAAATCAACATGATCCACGCCAAGTCTCTTCAGACTCTTCTCAATACTCTCCCTCACATGTTCAGGAGTCGAATCAGTAGCAATGCCCTTATCGGACATCTTGAGTCCAAACTTGGTCGCAAGAAAGATGTCCTGGCGACGCTCGGGGTGGAGCTTGAACCACTTCCCAACGAGGTCCTCGCTATCGCCATAGATGTTAGCTGTGTCCCAATTGGTACAGCCGAGCTCCCAGGCACGATCAAGGACCTTGAGACGTTCTTCATCCGGCCTAGATGTGTTAGCCTGAAGGACATTGGGATGAGTGAAATCTTTGGGCATACTCAGCTGCTCCATATGCGATGCTCAGACCCATGAGACCGAAGCCAATGGCTGGGATCTTGGTCCCATTCTTTGTAAGTTGACGAAGGGGCAGTTGAGCGGGAGGGGCCATGATGGATTATAGATGCGTGTAGTAGGTATGACTGTTCAGGTTAGTAGTGTACAAACAGAGTTAAGACTAGTGTTGTGTAAAAGGCAACTGAGGCTTGATACTCCGGAAACATCTTTCTTGATAGCTGAGAGAACACAGTCTTATATACTTGTTTAGAACCCCAGTTCCCTTTCCATGGACTCTCCATTAAGACAATACAGCCTAACTTTCCTACACGATAGGCTTAGCACCACAACAATAGCTACAAGAAATCCCCACCGGCGGACCGAAGTTAAGCTTGTCTCCGAAGCCCCCATCATCATGCATGAATGACTAAGCTAGCTAAACTGAAATTGTATCGTGCACTTATACGATACTACATTATTCATGGTTAGATTTGTACAACGAAACCACGGTGACGCGTGCATCGGTATTTGATAGACATGAGGTCGGTGTTGTCGGCGATAAGGCCAAACGTCAAGGTCCAGGGCTCAGTTTTAAGACACAAGAACACCAATGTCAGGAACAAATAGATGGTCTTGAACCAAGCTCAAGGTATCAAAAAACTGCAGAATCGCTATATTACGCTACTCATCCGTCTATTTCGTCTTGCGCCTCGCCTTAAATGTCTTGAGGGGATCCCGCTTCCTTGAGCCGACCTTGAATCCTCGACCCTTTTTACCCTTGCCCTTTTTGTCTTTTCGCATGGCCACGAAACCAACGTCTCCGGTCAGAGCCTGCTTGCCATCCTTTGGCATGAGGTACTCGGGTATGTGTTTCAAATGAGCCTGTTGTCTGGCAGTTCGAAGTTCACCATCATGACGAAGGTGAGAAAGTTCAGTTGGGTTCTCTTCGAAGTATCTGAGACTTGTTAGTACAATCCCTGCACAATGGCAGTGTGGCGTGTTCTTACCGCTTAAGCTTCTCACTCTTCAATAGTTCTTGTCGCAGCTCTCGTGTTCGGGCTTCTCGGATAGCAACCTTGGTAACGGCACGCAGGGCATCATTCATACGGTACCGGAAAGGATCCACTTGCTTCATGTTGAAGTTGTATGGCTTCACCTCCTTATCGCGCTTGGCTTGTTGCCTAATGATCCTAGCCATAATCTTCTCGTCGTTTTCACAGGCCGGGGTAGATGTGGGCATGTGCTTTCGGTACAGGTCCTTGGGAACCACAAAGGACAGGGCCATGCCAGTCTGGCCAGCTCGCGCTGTGCGTCCTATTCTATGTGTGTAGGCTGATGCTGTGGAGGGAAGATCGAAGTTGATGACTGCGGAAACCTTCTTGAAATCAACACCTGTGAATGTATTGTTAGCATTCTCATCATAGGTAGGATTGTTGCCTCAAGCACTGGGTATGACATACCTCTTGATACGCCATATTCCTTATCACCACTCTTGGACTTCCTGGCTTTCTTCGTTGGTCGCTTCGCTTCTGTCTCTGCATCGTCGCCTTCGTTGATCTTCTTGGAGTCGTCCTCGGCTTCGGCAGTTTCGGCAGGCTCGTCATCTCCGAGCATCTCGTTCTTCTCATCGGCGGCGATAATGATATCGTAAACATGTCGATTGAACTCCTCGACAACATGAACTCGCGAGTTCAGGGGCAGCTCTGAGTTCAAGATACAGCTGCGAATGCCAAACTGCTCAAAGAAAAGCTTAAGACGGTAGCATCGGTCGATATCGCTGACAAAAATGATGCACTTGCCCTTGATCAACTTCAGCTTGAAGATGACATAAGCAAGCAAGAACTTCTCGTCTTCACCACACCTAGAGATTTGTTAGTAACTATCCCTTTATATACTGCAGTTCATATGGCTTACTTGGCGACAAACTGAGTAATACCCTCGCCTTCGACCTCCTTCTCCTTCAGATCCAACAAGGTAGGGTCACGTCGGAAGATTCCCTTGAGTGTGTCGACCTCATCGGAAAGAGTAGCGCTCATCATAATAACCTGCACACCCTTGGGAACTGATCGTGATAAGTTCTCAAGATCCTCGCTATAACCGTAAGAAAGAACGAGATCCGCCTCGTCAAGAATAAGATGGGTGAGCCTGTCAATTGACAGTGCGGAAGAGTTGACATTTTGCCAGGCAGTCGATGGGGTCGAGATGACGATGTCGGGGGAGACGGAGAGAAGGGCGCGTTGGACTTTGCTAGAGACCTTGTCGGTTAACTTTGCGGTGCTAATATCCTTTGCGCAGAATGAAGCAAACTGTTCAATCGCCTTCGAAACCTGATCTGCAAGCTCGCGGGTCGGGACGAGGATAAGAGCGGTCGTGAAAGCAGTAGAATCAGTCTAGAGACACATTGAGTTAGCAAGGGCCCTTCATCTTGAGTAGCAGGTAAAGCATACAGCTTTGCGCTTCAGAATGCTCGACAACAGAGGAAGAACATATGCGGCGGTCTTTCCAGAACCACAGTCTGCTTTGGCGAGAACATCCTGTCCGTTGAGAGCCAGAGGAATCGCCTTGCGCTGCACGAGAGTAGGCTTGGCGAACTTTTGCTGGGCGATGGCCTGTAGCAATCTAGGATCAAGGCCAAGATCGACGAAAGAAGTCTCTTCAGCTTGTTTTTGCTCAGGCTTTGTAGACTTTTCAACCTCGGTGCTTGTAGAGTTTTCGGCTGGTACAGGCTCCTCTGCTTGATCGCGCTTTCTCTTTGTAGATGCGCTCATTGTGAAAGCTGGTTGTGGTGTCGTGATGGGCTGTTGGTGTATGTCGAAGAAAGATGGTGATTCTTAACGACCCAAGATAATCTTTCTGCTTCAGTGCTTTCCTCCAAATTTCTAGCGGGCCTGAGGGGCAGTTTAGCAGTATCCATGCATCTGATTGGCCATAAGATCAAAGCGCTAGCATCCTTCGGTCTAGCTTGCTAAAGTTTCGAAAATCGTTCAGAACTTTTTTTCTTCTTATCGTGCTTATCAATACATGAGGATCCATCCATCCATACGCGTGCATCTGTCTCAGGTCTTTTTTATTTGACCGGGAATAGCTTCAAACGTCAATTACGAATGAGTATTTGCGAAGCAATGACATATATCTTACAAGAGGCCACAAATTTAAGTTCAGAAATTGCATTTCAAAATTATACGCGCACATGATTCAGGAATTGACAAAACCATTAACCCCCTCCTTTCAAGAGTCTAAGATGCGCTCTTTGCCATGTACACGTCTTATAATAAAGCCCATAGCATATCACGGAAACAAAGTGGTAATCAACTTTTCTCGTCATAACCAAAAATTTATTAATTCGTTTGTACAATCCAATTTTATCCCTTTAACTCCCAGTCATTAACCCTTGCTAACAAAAACTTGCAAAACTAAACCATTGTCTACGCGTTCGTGTCTATCATTTCGTTTCTTTTTCCTTCCTTTTTTTCGTCCCTCACCACTTGATGACAGGGTTAGGGAAGTACTCGGCAATGAGATCCATGTAGTAAGGCTTGAGCTTCTCAGCATCAGGGACGCCGTCACTCTTGGAGTACAAGTCATAGGGGTTGAAGGCGTTGACAGCCTTGAGCATCTCCCAGTCCTTGTCACACATGAGGTGCTGGTACGCACCCTCTCGGTGCCATGGGTAGAATGAGTGGTAGCGGATCATAGCAAGAGCCTCATCGGGGAGGGTAGACTGGTCCTTGACGACGTGGTAGAGATACTCGTCATGACCCCAAGAGAGCATGATGTTGTCAAGACCACAGTTGGGAGAGTAGATGCCGAACTTGGTGTTAAAGTCAGGGTTGACAGCATCAGGGTTTCCCTCGGTAAATGTATCGGGGTAGATGATCTTGTCAGAGAAAGCACAGCCAACGGGGAAAGTGTCGCCAACAACGTCCCATTGTCCCTGAGTCTCGAGTTCGGGAAAAAAGAGCATCAGCTTGCCAAGGTCGTGGATGAGACCAGTGAGCTGCATCCATCGAGGCTTGCCATCGCGGCGAATAGCTTCAGCGGACTGGAGAAGATGCTGGATCTGGGAGAGGGAGGTGTCGGGGTCGGACTCGTCAACGAGAGTGTTGAGCTTCTCCATGGCCTCCCAAATGGTCATCTCAGGGCGAGGACGAGAAGAATTGTAGAAGCGGTTACGGGCAGCAAGGTTGTAAGCGACAGTCTGCTTGTGGTGTTGTTCGCGGTAGAAGTTCTTGACGCGGTCGGTGGCATCGGCGTATTGGCGGAAGGTGTTCTTGTCCTTCTCCTTGTCGAACTTGGAGGATTCGTCGTACTTGGAGGATTCGTCGTACTTGATCACGTTGACATCGTCAATCTTATCAGAGAGAGCCTCGAGAGCTTGGCCATCATGGCTGGAGAAGTCGTCAATGACAGCACTGGGGGCCATTGTGAAGTTTGTAAAACGTGTAAGTGAAAGTGAAAGTGGCAAAGGTAGAGACTATTGTATAGAAGAGGTTCGATATCTTGAAGATGGTTGGAGTTGTTGATCAAGTATGAAATAGGGAGAATTGGATAATGGTGAACTTGAGGAATTGGATCTGGAAGTGGTGACAAGGCCGGTCTTATGTAGGTATGTCGTTGATGTCAAGTTCGTCTCTATCAGGTATGGAACCTGATCTCATCCAATATCGAAGTTTTCACTTTACCCGCACACCATTGCTCTTTCCCGCTCACTTTCCTCTATTCTTTCTTATCTTCCCCGCATTATTGAAGGTAAAAACTTGGGTCATGACCAATCTGTGTCACCCGAGTGGGTGTTTTGCTTTGCAACTCTCGTAGACTTGGTCTCAATGTGGTTCAGACTTGGTCGAGATCTGGAGAATGATGGATCTCGGCGGGCAAGATTTCCCAGTTGAGTTACACATATCGGGTTAAGCCCGCCGAGGTATCGCCACTGATAACCCTGTAAGGTCCTGTTCTCATCTATCTACAGTTAGCTCCGCCGGAAGTAGCTCTTTATGGCAATTGACGATACCCCGGAATAGCATCATAGCTTGAGCAGTGGAGATTTCACAAATATTTACCTCAAAATCCCACGTTTACTCCATGTTGTTAATTTCCTTCTCTACGTCACGCGGG